CATTTGACACATAGTTGAGCTTTGCAACATATCCAAGCCATTTCATATCCACGACATAGGTTGCTCACTCTAGTGTACATGTGGACTAAATACCTGTGTATCTCAACATAAACATATATTAGTCCACCTATGTTGTCACTCAATTATCAAAACCAAATAAGGACCTTTTAGCAATTATGTGGATTAGGGATCTCCCTGGCAAAGCCCATCGACCCCCATCCCCTTGTGGGAGAAAAAATCAAACGTGGGATCTCTCTCATTTGCAGTGTATCTCTTGCTTCATTCTCCTCTCACAATGCTCGCATTCCAGTTCACTCCTACAACGCTTGTCATCCTTCTCCTTGGTAGCGCTCAGTGTTCTCCTCTCCCTCCTCCACCCTTTGGTTCTAGGACATGTTGAATCCTCTTGAGGAGTTGTAGGCATAGCCCAATAGAGTAAAGTTGCCAAGAAGAATTTCTGCTTGCAAATCAAGTTTAGTGGACGCAAATTGAACCCTTGTGGACTTTGTAGCTGTAGGCTTGCAGCAATGTGCTCAGTCGCATGGTAGGCTACTGGGCGCTACAAAGGTAGACTTTGTAGTGTGGCCTAATATGGACCAGCCTTGGCCGGTGTGAACAGTACACGCAGGTAGTGCAGCGCATCTATTATAGCACCAAATTCTACCCTGTAATCTCTCTCCCAAGATACAAACCATCACACAAACATTACACCATCCACAAGCGCCTTACAAAGCATCAGGTCTACAAGTTCTTTTCTTTCATAGTTTCACCCAATCATTCAATATGTGGTGTGTTCCTCCTTTAGAAACTTTTGATTAATAAATCCATTAGTGCATAGGTTATCTTAGTAGTTTAGGGTGGCTTGTGATGTTTATGATAATTATAAACTTATAACACATCCACCGACAATGTTTATATATAGACTTTGTAGATGCTCCATCCTTAACTACACAACTTGATCATTGAAATAGACTAGTATATTTATATTAAGTAGAAGAGCCTCTATGGAACTTTTTAGGCTGCTGCCCTTTTAATTGCATTCTCATGATTTGAATTTCTTCTTTTCATAACAGGCTACAAAAGGTTGATATTGTTCAGTGGAAAACTTCACCTAATTACAGTTTGAATGCAGCTCAAACTGAACATAATAAATAAATGTTGAAATGAATTGAACTCAGATTGAATATGTAGGATGGTGCTCAACTGATTGTGAAATAGAACAGAAAGGCTTTGTGGCATACCAGCTAGAAAGGCTTTGTGGCATACACAGACATTCCCATATTTTCAATTCCCTGATTAATTTCTATGGGCTTAGAGAGATGAATATGAGTGGGGGGTGTTTACCTGGTCAAATAATCAAGATCCCCCAACTCTGGTGAAATTAGATAGAATTTTGGTCTCAAACTCTTGGGAAAATCTTTTCCCAACAACAATTGTGACCAGGCTTCCTAGAGAAATTTCTGATCACAACCCTCTTATTCTATCTACTGGGCAAAGGCAAAATTTGCCAAAGCTGGAATTCAGGTTTAACTTAGTCTGGCTTAGTAACCCTGAGTTTATAGAGTTAACCAGACAACCATGGGAGAAACCTTGCAAAGCTAAGTCTGCTCTGGACAAAATGCAGCAGAAGCTCAAACTTTTTAAGCAATATTTCAAAGGGTGAGGCTTCAATTTGCAGGGAGATTTAAGGAAAAAAAGAAATGAGATACAAGAAGAGCTTATAAACTTAGAGAATTTTGAAGAAACTATAGGTTTATCATTATCTCAGATAGAAAGAAAATGTTGGTTGATTTTTGAAAATTGCAAAATGTTGGAACAAGAAGAACTTTATTGGCATGAAAGGAGTCATGAAACATGGCTCCTCAAGGGGGATATAAATACTAGCTTTTTCACAAATGTGCAAATGGCAGAAAAAGAAAAAACACCATTATTTCTATACAAAAAGAGGGTGAAATTATAGAAGGAGAGGGCAATTTGCTCAAGCATGCCACACAATATTATGCAGAGCTGTTTGTCTCTGAACCTCATTTTAATATTAATCTGGATCCTGCTATTTGGGAAAACACCTATAAAATCACTGATTCTGATAATTCCATCCTTTGTAAGCCCTTCTCTGAAGAAGAAATCAAGGAGGCTCTTTTCCAAATGGAGAAGAACAAAGCTCCTGGCCCTGACAAAATTCCTATTGAATTCTATCAAGTGTGTTGGGGAATTGTTAAAAAGGACATCATGCAACTTTTTGCAGACTTTCACAAGGGAGAGATTGACATTTCTAGAATGAATTATGGTATTATTACCCTCCTTCCCAAGATAACTGATGCGTGTAAAATATAACAATTTCGACCAATCTGTTTATTGAATTGTCTGTATAAGCTGGTGACTAAGACATTAACTTTGAGGATTGGACCTTTTGCTGAGAAATTAATTCATAAAGCTCAAAGTGCTTTTACAAAGGGTAGAAACATAACATCTGGAATCATGTGTTTACATGAGGTCATCCATGAAACAAAGAGGAAGGGGGAGATAGGTGTTATCCTAAAATTGGACTTCGAAAAAGTATATGATTAAGTAAACTGGAAAATCTTGTTTGATTGTCTACACATGAGGGGCTTTGACACCAAATGGTGTAACTAGATCAAACAAGTTGCAACTGGCGGTACTATTAGCATCAAAATGAACAATATCGTACCAATCTTATTCAATTTGGTGGCTGATTGCCAGACCAGAATGGTGGTAAAAGCCCAGGACAATGGACTCATTTGTGGTTTGGTTGACCATATCGTACCAAATGGGATAGCTTTGCTTCAATATGCTGATGACACCATAGTGTGTCTAAACATGATGTGGAAAAAGCTAGAAACATGAAGTTCTTACTGTATCTTTATGAAAAGTTAGCTGGCCTGAAGATCAACTTCAACAAGATTGAAATTGTAATGATTAATGATGATGGCTCTTGGGGCCAAGTTTATGATGAACTTTTTAATTGCCAGTTGGGTTATTTTCCAATTAAATACCTAGGTGTACCTGTTAGTCCAAGCAGGCTGCATTTAAGTGACTGGCTTCCTTTGATAGACAAAAGCAACAAGAGACTTGATGTGTGGAAGGGAAGCACACTGTCAATTGCTGGTAGAACCACTTTGATTGAAGCTAGTCTGAACAACTCCCCAATATACCACATGTCTGTTTACTTGCTTCCCAAAACCACCACCAAAAAGCTTGACAAAATTAGAAGAACCTTCTTTTGGCAAGGAGGTAGATCTAAGAAAAAATACCATCTTTTGAAAATGGACAAAAATATGTAAAGCCAAGAAAAAAGGTGGCCTTGGGATAAAGGATCTGAAAATTTTGAATATCAGCCTTCTAGCCAAATGGTGGTGGAAATTGGAAAAGGAAGAGGGATTATGGCAAGAGATAGTTAAGTTCAAATATCTTTCTAACAAATCTATCTTCACTGTGCAACATAAACAGAATGACTCTCCTATGTGGAGTGATCTTCTTAAGGTCAAAGGCCTATATTTCCAGGGCAGAAGTATCATTATGAGTAATGGGGTTCAAACCAGATTTTGGCAGGATTCATGCTTATTTGAAAAGCCTTTAGCTGTGGTTAACCCCACTCTATTTGAGCTTTGTGATCAGCAATCTGTATATGTTGCACAAGTTACTTCTGGTCAGGTTCATCTGTCTTTTAGAAGATGGTTACCTGATGATTTACAAACATGTTGGAATCATATTTTGGATAGTGCTATGAACTTTCAACTAAAAGAAAACAGTGATGAAATCATTTGGAAGTTTGAGAAAAAGAAATGCTTCACTGTGAAATCAATGTATAATGCACTAACCTGCAATGATAATGGTCTATCTTTTAAGAATATTTGGAAAGGTAAAGCTTCCTATAAAGTGATGATCTTCATGTGGCTTCTAGCCAATGATGCTATTTTGACTAAAGACGACTTATTAAAACGAAATTGGCAGGGAGACCCCACATGTTTCTTCTGCAATGATAATGAAACTATCTCTCATCTCTTTTTTGCCTGTCCAACTGCTAGAGTAATCTGGGCAGTGGTAGCGAAGTGCTTTGGGGCTAATAACATTCCAACAAACTTGTCTCAATGTTGGAAATGGTGTGACCAGTGGTTCCCTGGGGGAAAGGCTTTTCACATGTGGGGAGTAGCGGCTATATGTTGGTCCATATGGAAATCTAGAAACAGAGTTTGTTTTGAAGGAAAGAAAGTTCAAAGTCCACTGGCAATTATCTGTCAGGCTTGTGCTCTAATGAAATTTTGGACAGGTCTCTGCAAAGAAGCGGATCGTGAGGAGCTCATTGACATCATGTTGAAGGTGGCTAAGCAAATTCTGGCGGATCAGCAGCAAGCTGGAGGTCTGAAGGAGAACATGGACGGCAGCAGGCTGAAGGCCAAAGATCACTCGGCTTGATTTACTTGCAGGATCGCGCAGGCTCTTGGTGAAAGGCGGATAACATCAGTTCTCCTGTTGGCTTGGGCGCAGTTCAAACTGCATCGTTTTTAGCTTTTTCCCCTCTTTGCGGGTTCTTTTTATCTGTCGTTGGTACTGCTAGTCTGTTCGCCGATGCTGGCGGTTTGGGCTCTGTCAGAGAGCTGATGGACGTAATAGGGTAGCTGCTTTCCTTTCCCTGTCTTCTCTGCCATAACTCTGAAACTCTGTATTTCCATTACGTTCAATGGAAATGGGGCTATGTCCTCGTGTGGGAAAAAAAATAGTGGTCCAGGTCTGTGACATGGACATGGCGCCTCTCTACAGCCGCCATTGCTGCCCGGAGAGCAACCTCGGTGAGCCCAGCACCCTGTCCTCTCCGCCATCGATCCCTGCCTCAGCTAGGCCACCTCTCCTCTTCGTCCGCCGCCACGTCCGACCACAAAGCCTCTGGCGGCAAAACTCTGGCGCACGTCGTCGCCGTGTCCTCCTCGGACGCCGATGAGGCGTTCGTGGTCGAGGGCTCCTATGGCCGCGGGGCCTACGCCATGCGCGACGCACGCGGCGGCATCGTGGCTGAGGTGCGGCGCAAGGAGGCGGTCAGCGACGACGTGTTCAGGCTTCATCCTCGCCTCGACGCGTCCGTCGCCATGGCACGGCAGCGGACCATCGGGATCGAGTGGGGGCGGCGGCATGATTTCAGCGGAGGTTCGAGTCATCCCAAGCCCGATACTTGCCGTATTTTTCCCAGACCGGAGGAGGCAACATTTTTTCCAACAGTTTTGGGCCAAACCGCATCGCATCCCCATCTCCTCGCTCCCAGACGAAACCCTAACCCTGCTGCCTGCCGTCCATCTCCACTGCTGCGGCGGCAGCATGGAAGAAGCAGAGAACGGCGTGAGGAACCGCTCTCCGACGCGCGCCTCCGGCAACGGCGTGAGGAAGCTACCTCCTTCTCCAATGGGGAGAACGGCGTGAGGAACCGCTTCCCGACGCGCGCCCCCGGCAACGGCGTGAGGAAGGTATCCCCTTCTCCGACGAGGTCGTCCGCCCAGGAGCAGAGGAAGCCCTCTGCCTCGCCTCCGCCGCCGCGCGTCCCCAGGTGGCTGATCCTCGACAGCATCGTCCACCGCAGCAGCAGGAGGCGTTCCGGGGTCGTCGAAGACGACGCCACGGCCTCGGCGCTCGCCCACGACTGCGCCGGCCGCCCCGTCCGCACCTCCCTCAGGATCGCTGACCCTCCCGCGGTCTCCCGTCTCTACCTCCACCTGACGGGCAGGCCGCCGATCAAGTTCCGGGAGCCCACCGCCATCGCCGCCCACCGCAACTCCATTCTCTTCCGGGTGACTGTCCCCTTCGAGGATCCTATGTGGTGGCGCGACACCTACTCGTTCCCCATCGACTACTTCGTCTACTCCTGCCGCTCCTCGTCGCCGCAGTCACTGACTCTGCTTCCCCCCTGCTTCGACGGTGGCTACATCGACCCCGAGCTTGATGAGTTCTGCAAACCACATCGGCAGCAGCGACAGCGCACCATGTTGCTCCAAGATATCGGCATCCTCTGCCATGGCGACGAAGGCAAGTTCACGGTGGCACAACTCAAGTTCTCTCAGCGTTATGAGTTTGAGCTATGCGTGCTGCACAATCCACCTCCTGGCTCTGGCATTTCAATGGAATGGAGTGTTAAGAAGGTGCAGATCCCTTCTGACACGAAGATAAACACCTACTCGTGGATGACTGACGCCGTCGTGCCCATTGGTAGATGCTTGTGCTGGGTCGACAACTACCAGGGCATGCTGGTCGTTGATGTCCTCGCTGACAGCAACAGCAACCCAGATCATCAGCAATGTCTCCGTTACATTCCTCTGCCTAAAAAGGCTTTGAAGTGTCCCCGCCTGTACATCGATGCAGATGAACCTGATCCGATGCGCTCCATCTGTGTCACTGACGCTGGCATCATTAAGCTGGTCTGTATTCTTACCAAATGTCCTCCTTTCACCATAACAACATGGACTTTGGATGACATCCATGGAGGCAGATGGACAATGGATCTCAGCACCACCATGGGAGCAGAGGAGTTCTTCCATCTTCTTGGCACTGGCCACAGCTGCCTTCCACAGGTACAACCAAGTTTTCCTTTGGTTAGCTTGGTTGATCCAGATGTCATCTGCTTCCTGCTGAAGGACAAGGACCGTGGCCTTTTCTGGATGATTGATGTCAACATGAGGAACAAGAAGCTGCAGTCAAGCGCCCTCTATATCAGTGAAGAGGAAGAAGAAGATGGATATCCCCCTAAAAGGGGCCCCAGATACTATTTCTTTGGTCATCGCTTCATCCCCAGCGAGTTCTCCTCTTACTTGAGTGAGGATGCCATCACAAGGTAATATTTTTTGTATTCTTTTTCTGTCTTTACCTCTGTTGTGGCATCTTACTTGTTCCACTTCTCAGTCTTAAAGTTGTTACTACTTATATTTTTTTTTAGCTGTGCATTTTAAAACATAAAGATAACTGATTATGTCTAAAGTGACTAATCAATTATAATATCAAAATATTGCCATGATCGTTACTCAGTTAAATGACTAGCCAATCTGTTAACAGTGGGTTGATGTGTTAAAACATAACCAGATTTATCTGCTAAATCGTGATTGCACTATCAAACTTTCACCTGCTCTGTCAAACATTCTTATTTTGAAGCCAATGCAACGCTATGCAGTAAGAGAACCAACAGAAATGCTGTCAGTTCTTCAGACTTTGTTTAATCGCTGTTCTCCCATTTGCGTGCTCATTCCCAGACTTAGTTCAGGGTGACGTTGAGTCACTGGCATGCGACCCCCATACATGAGGAGGCCGACACATCCTTATCTTGAACTTAAGACTGTCTCCAACGGCTCGTGCAAACGGCGACGCATACCTAAAATCGGTCGCGCACAGTGTTTTAGCCGGCTCCAACCGAAGATGCAATCGGAGCATGCATTTTGGGGACGAGGTCGACCGGAAGGCATATTTGCGTCGTCCTAATCCGAGACGCAAAGTCTTCCACGGCAGCCACCGCACAGAGTTGGATCTGAGCAATGGGGGAGGAGCAGGCGGCGCCAAAGCCAAACGCCGCGGCCACGGCGATGGAGCTGACGGGTTTCGTCATGACCGCGGAGGAGGCCGAGCGCAAGGTGGCGGCCGCCAGCGTGGCGACCGTGCAGGACCTGCTGCCGCTTCTGGTCCCGTCCGCGAGGAAGCGCGCGCGTCCCCGATCTCGGACTTCAAGTGGGCGTCGTGGGGCTGGGCGCCAGCGGACGCGTCTACGTCGGCGTCAACCTCGAGTTCCTCGGCGTCCCGCTGTGCCACTCCGTCCACGCAGAGCAGTTCCTCGTGGCCAACGCCGCTGCCGCGAGGCAGTCCGTGCTGCGCGCCGTCGTCGTCTCCCACATGCCCTGCGGCCACTGCCGCCAGTTACTCCAGGAGATCCGCGGCGCCGCGGGCATCCAGATCCTCGTGACCAGCGACGCCGGATCTACGCGCAGGGAGGGAGGGAGGCAGGCGGGATTTGGCTGCTCTGCTCGGCGTCTGTTGGAGAAGGTGAGATTTGCGTCCGTAACCTATTGACTGTACGTGACCTATAGTATCAAATGGGTATCCGGTTTGGGTTCTTTTTCGTTGGAGACAGTCTAAGTGTGAGAGTCCTGGACGCCAATTAATGTTCACCCTTTTTTTTGGATTCTGGATCAGTCAGTAGGCTTTTTCGTAACTGTTTGGGATCCAAACCAAACCAGAGCAACCCATATAAAAAATTAATATGCCTCAGCCAAGTAACATCTTCAATAGACCAGCTCAACCTACCCAAACAAAATGCACACTATATATGGTCTGGGCCTCTTTGTTTTCTCATCAGGAAACCAACTTGATCATCATATACTTAATAAAAAGAAGACATTTCTTTCTTTAGCTAGTTCATTTCTCATTAAGGATTCAGTTTTGTACTTATGATGACATAAAGAAGAAACATAATTGGTAAATCATTACTGCAGTAAGGACTAGGATGGCTATGCCCACAACTGAAGTTCTACCATTGCTGCTAGCAGTCATGGATCAGGAATGTCTGGTGTCAGAAAAAACTTCTCAGAAAACTCGAGTGACCATGACTCTGAAAAACAGTTAGTCGTGTTCCTTAGGAGTTTGTGATAGGCAAGGTCTTATTTGTCGGATTGTTGCATATGCATTACTTGTCGAACATTGATTTTCTACTCCCCAGCTCAGCCAGTTTTAGTTTTCTACTCTTCTCATGTACTGAAGTCAGGAATGTTGATTGCGGTGCTGGCTTTGCTTTCTTCTATGCAGTCGGGACCTAAGTGAAAAGATGCAGAAGACAAAAGAGGATAGAGTGATGCAGAAGAGTGGACTGGAAGCACAATTGGAGTGATTTACTGGATGTATGACTGCCTTTTTGGAGACGTCCATGACTAATGTTGTCTCATGGGGACTGGGGGGGGGGGCTATGGGTAGAGGCCTAGAGGGTGATGTACTTGAGAAACCCACGAGGTCACAAACCTATGCCTTCACCATGTGTTTGGCTGTGTGAGCTATGCCTTCGCCATTGTCTTTGAGAAACCCTATTTGATACTCAACTGTGACATGAGAGCGCTTTTGGTTGTCTGTCTTTGTCTTGTAATGTGCCCTCCCTCCATGGAGAATTTTGTGAATGCTATCTCAGAAATGGCATTTTTATGTGGATGTTGAATTCACACGTGCTGCCCAACCATCCTGGGTGCTTCAAGATTTGCCTAGTGCACGTATTAATTTTGATTCATTTGAAGTCCAAATCCAAGTAAGTTACAAGGGAGCCCAAGTTTTGAAAACAAGTGGTAATGCATGCCGTGAGTGCATTTCCATCTGCTAAGTGGCACACCTCTATTCAGACGTAGACTCGTTCATGGCTGCATCCAGGGGATCTTAAGCTTATGTTGTGCAGCAAGCAACACTGCTTATCCTAAAACTCACAAACGTCCCTATAACAATATAATGGGGTTAAATGACAACTCAGGCTCTTCATAATAGTTTTTTTTAAAGATAAAGTCATGATAGTTTAACTCCGCCTATGTTGTCTCAACGTAGCAGGTCCCAAGCCCTGGTAAAGGAGGAGGGTTGTGATAGGCGTGGCGAGCCAACGTTAAATCTAGTTATTCTAATGGAGATGAAATCCGAAAGAAAACCGTTGAGGCGTAACCCTCTTAGCGACGCGTCATATCGGAACCCGGATATGGTGTTAAATGGGCAAGGGCCGGGTCGGCACCCCTTGGTGACACGCCGTGTCGTGATCTGGGCATGGTGTCAAGTGAGCAAGGATCGGGTCATCGCTTCCTTAATGGCGCGCTACATCAGTGCCCGGGTGTAGTGAAAAATGAGCAAGGGTCTTCACATCTGAGTCGACGGGTGCGAAGGGTAAGGAAGCTAGTCGAATCAACTAGGATACGTTTAGATAGTTGGAATGTAGGGTCGCATACAGGTAAGTTAAGAGAATTAGTTGGTACCATGACTAGGAGGCGTGTAAATATATTATGCGTTCAAGAGACTAAATGGAAGGGTTAGAAGGTGAACGAGGTGGACAATACAGGTTTCAAGCTTTGGTACACAGAGATAGTCGCGAATAGAAATGGACTAGGAGTTTTGATTGATAAGAGCCTCAGGAATGGTGTGGTGGGAGTGAGAAAGCAAGGAGATAGGATTATCTTAGTCAAGCTTGTCGTTGGTGATATGGTCTTGAACGTAATTAGTGCGTATGTCCCTCAAGTAGGTCTCGACGAGAGTGCTAAGAGACAGTTATGGGAAGACTTAGATGACCTGATTAGAGTTGTACCTAGTAGTGAGAAGCTTTTATAGGAGGAGATCTTAAAGGACATGTAGGTACTACAAGCACAGGTTTAGAGGCAGTTCATGGAGGTTTTGGGTATGGTAGTAGGAATCAGGAGGGGGAGGAAGTTTTGGACTTCGCGATAGCTTTTGACCTGATGATAGCCAACACTTTCTTTAGAAAGAGAAAATCTCATCTAGTGACCTTCAGTAGCGGACAACACTCTAGCCAGATTGACTTTGTCCTCGCAAGAAGAAAGGACAAACGAGCATGCTTGGGTTGCAAGGTGATACCAGGGGAGTGTGTTGTTTCTCAACATAAGCTTTTGGTGGCAGACTTTCATTTTCAGGTGCGTGCCCGTAGGGATAAACAAGCTAAGATTGAAAAAATAAAGTGGTGGAAACTAAAAAGGGAGACGTCAGAGGTATTCAGGGAAAGGGTTATCAAAGAGGGCTCTGGGAAGGAAGAGGAGGACATAAACAACATGTGGGAGAAGATGGCAACCAACATTCAGTAGGTGGCCTCAAAGGTGTGTGGAGTAACCAAAGGAAGTGGAGGCGAGGCTAAAGATAATTGGTGGTGGAACGAGGAAGTCTAAAGGGCTATGAAGGAGAAGAAAGAATGCTATAGACGCTTGTACCATGACAGGAGTGTGGACAACATAGAGAAGTACAAGGTGGCAAAGAAGACTGCAAAGCGAGCTGTAAGTGTGGCAAAAGGTAGAGCGTACGAGGATCTTTACCAACATTTGAGTACGAATGAAGGAGAGAAGGACATTTATAGGATGGCTAGGGTTCGTGAGAGAAAGACAAGGGACTTCAACCAAGTTAAGTGCATTAAGGATGAAAGAGAGCATCTCTTGGTAAAGGAGGATGAGATCTGACATCGATGGCAAGAGTATTTTGACAAATTGTTCAATGGTGAGAATACGGACATAACCTTTCAGTTGGATGACTCTTTTGATGACACCAATAGGCGCTTTGTGTGGAGAATCCAAGAATCTGATGTCAGAGAGGCGTTGAAAAGTATGAAAGGAGGTAAGGCGATGGGACCAGATGGAATCCCAATCGAGGTGTGGAGATGCCTTGGGGATATAGCTATAGTGTGGCTAACCAAGCTGTTCAACCATATTTTTCAATCGAACAAGATGCCTGACGAATGGAGGAGATGTATATTGGTACCGATCTACAAGAATAAAGGGGATATTCAAAGTTGTAATAATTACCAGGAAATTAAGTTGATGAGCCATACTATGAAGCTATGGGAGAGAGTTATCGAGCATCCCTTGAGAGAAATAATGCGGGTCTCTATGAACCAATTTGGTTTCATGCCCGGAAGGTCAACCATGGAAGCCATTTTTTTAATAAGACATGCTTTGGAGCGGTATAGGGAGAAGAAGAAGGACCTACACATGGTTTTTATTGACTTGGAGAAGGCTTATGATAAAATACCAAGGAATGTTATGTGGTGGGCTTTGGACAAACATAAAGTCCCAACGAAGTACGTCGGGCTCATTAAGGACATGTACAACAATGTTGTGACTAGTGTTCGAACAAGTGATGGAGACACGGATGACTTCCCGATTATGATAGGACTACATCAAGGGTTAGCTTTGAGCCCTTATCTATTTACCTTAGTGATGGATGAATTCACAAGGGATATACAAGGGGACATCCCTTGGTGTATGTTTTTCGCGGACGATGTAGTGCTAATTGATGAAAGCCAGACATGAGTGAATCAGAAACTAGAGTTATGGCGGGAGACTTTGGAGTCCAAAGGTTTTAGACTCAGTAGAACTAAAACTGAGTATATGAGATGTGACTTCGGCACTACTAGTCGGGAGGAGAAAGATATTAGTTTGGAAGGTCAAGTAGTGCCTTGGAAGGATACCTTTCGATATTTAGGATCAATGCTACAGAGAGACGAGGATATTGATGAAGATGTTAGCCATAGAATCAAAGCAGGGTGGATGAAGTGGCACCAAGCATCTAGTGTCCTATGTGATAAAAGGATACCACAGAAGCTAAAAGGCAAGTTTTATAGGACGACGATTAGACCTGCTATGTTGTATGGTGCAGAATGTTGGCCTATGAAAAGACGACATGTTCAACAGATAAGTGTCGCGAAAATGCGTATGTTGCGTTGGATTTGCAGTCATACAAGAAGGGATCGAGTTCAGAACGATGATATACGTGATAGATTAGGGATAGCACCAATTGAAGAAAAGCTTGTCCAACACCGGTTGAGATGGTTTGGACATGTCCAACGAAGACCTCCAGAGGCACCGATGCGTAGTGGAATCCTAAGCCGGGATAGTACCGTGAAAAGAGGCAGAGGAAGACCGAAGTTGACTTGGGTAGATGCAATAAAAGGAGACTTGAAAGGATGGAATATACCCAAAGACTTAGCCTTAGATATGAGTACTTGGAAAACAGTTATTCACATGTCTGAACCTTGATTGCTTCTGTTGGGTTTCAACTCTAGCCTACCCCAACTTATTTGGGACTTAAAGGCCTTGTTATTGTTGTTGTTGTCGTTGTTGTTGTTGTATAAAGTCATGATAGTTTCTTGATTGACCATCAAGAAGTCAAATGCATAATCTGAGTTTGTCAAATGCTGGACAAAGCCATGGCTCGGCTTTCAAACAAGTCCACGATCCAGCAGGCAGCAATGAGCAGTAGTCAATGTCAATCTCAAAGACATTAAAAGACTAATCAGATAACAATGGGGGAACCTGACCCGCAGCTTGCTCAATCATATCTCTTGCCCTTCCCTTTCCTTTTTGCTGTCTGCCATTCGAATTCTGACGATGAGGACTGCTGCTGTGTAAGGGCAGGAGGAGGAGGTCGAGCTCTGGGCGCTGAAAGCTGTGAAAACCCTGAACGTGTGGCTGCTTGGGACTGCTGCCATGGAGGAGGAGGTCTCCCAGCACCAAGGTAGGATCCCTGCCTTGAACTTGGCATTGAAGGCTGTGAAAACCCTGAACTTGCGGCTGCATGGGACTGCTGCCATGGAGGAGGAGGTCTCACAGAGCCTAGGTTGGATCCCTGCCTTGAACTTGTCACTGATGGCTGTGAAAACCCTGAACTTGCCGCTGCTTGGGACTGCTGATATGGAGGAGGTCTCCCAGCGCCTAGGTAGGATCCCTGCCTTGAACTTGGCGTTGAAGGCTGTGAAAAAACTGAACTTGCGGCTGCATGGGACTGCTGCCATGGAGGAGGAGGTCTCACAGAGACTAGGTTGGATCCCTGCCTTGAACTTGTTGTTGATGGCTGTGAAAACCCTGAACTTGCCGCTGCTTGGGACTGCTGATATGGAGGAGGTCTCCCAGTGCCTAGGTAGGATCCCTGCCTTGAACTTAGCGTTGAAGGCTATGAAAACCCTGAACTTGCGGCTACTTGGGGCTGCTGCCATGCAGATGGAGGACCTCTCGCAGCGCCTACGTTGGATCCCTGCCTTGAGCTTGGCGTTGATGTCTGTGAAGACCCTGGACTTTCAGGCTGTTTCCCCTTCCCCGCCGTTCAAGACTCTCCTCCACCCTTGGATCCTATATATGGCCAAGACTGTATACA